AGTTCGGAGCTATTCTATATATACTGCTTTAACTTCGGAACTTTGTCAGCGCGATTTAGGCTTCGATGTGTTTTCGCTTGTGGCGCGACGACAACGCTGCCACAACTGTGTCGGCCCAGCATACTGTTAAGCCTACTCAGATAAAAGCGTGCGTTGCAAATTACTCTCTTGACATTGGGCCCGAAGGTGAGTCCCGTATCAAGGGTAACACCTAAATATGTGGCGGTCGTATGCCAGGGGACAGGGGTCCCTAGCATACGGATTGGCGGAATGGTAGTGGGGTGGCGTTATGATCGAAGTAAACGGCGGAGCTCTTCTCCGGGTTCACATCGATACGCCATTTTTGGCGCAAGCTCCTAAGTCATTAACTGACTTTTGGATCTTAATCCTTATAAAAGGTAGTGAGATACCTTTACAGTAGAGGACAGTGTCGTCTGCAAAGAGGGAGAGCTGAACACCATTCGACTGGATGGGAATGTCGTTGGTGAACAGGATGTATAGCAGAGGGGCAAGCACTGAGCCCTGAGGGACACTGGCTTTGATAGGACGTTGGGAATTACAGCGTGCCTTCGTATCTAAAACGAAAGATACGATCCTTCAGGTAGGAGGCCACGAGACGAACAAGATGATCAGGGAGGCCTGTTTTGTAGTTTGTAGATAAATCCTTCTTGCCAGACTCCATCAAATGCTATAGCTATGTCGAAAAAGAACGCGATGGTCTTATGACGACGAAGATAAAAACTGCTGAGGATATATTCCACAATACGGTGAACTTATTGGGGACAAGAGTGTTTCGCTCGGAAACCAAATTGGTGGTGAATGACAAGAGGGTCACCGTCTGTGGGAAACAGATGGAGCCTCATGCGAGTGAGGATGACTCGTTCAAAGAGTTTGCCCATGGCCTTGAGGAGGCTGACTGGATGGGAGGTGGTGGTGCTTTCCTGGCTTGGGGATACCAATGACAGTTGCCTCTTTCCACGTAGTGGGAAAGTAACTAAGGTTAAAGCAGACGTTGAAGATAATAGCTAATAGGGCTATCACCTGCTCAGGAATATTTTTGAAGGCTTGGTTGGAGATGCCATCCGCACCCGGGGCCTTTTTGGGCTTCAGTCCTTTGATGATGGATGAGATCTCATCATTGGACACAGTGATAGGGTCAGAGGCTGTGAGGGGTGAGTTCTGGCGGCGGAACTCATCCTCAACTGTCTGGATGTGGGAGGGATCAGTGGGTTGTTAGCTAGGAGAGTATTGAGCGGCGATGCAGTCTGCAAAGCACTCAGCCTTTCCCTCGTCCTCGAAGGCAATAGTACCGTCGGGACTGGAGAGAGTGGGAGTGTGAGTGATAGCGTCTATGCGGAGGGCTCTCGCCATCTGGTAGTACGCTGTATGAGAGGGAGAGATAGTCTCCATGAGATTACTCTTTTCGAGGTATCGAAGATCAGAAAGGCGTGATCGGACTTCTCGTTGAAGACGATTGGCCGTACGCCTATATTCAGGGGTGGGATAGAGTGCTGCCCTCCGGAAAGCAGCTCTCTTGGATTTCATTAGATTGCTAATATGTAGGGGAACGCTATTATTATTAGCAATCGGGACGACTCTTTCATTCTCCTTAAGGGAGGATTTTATAATGGTGGTGAGAGAATCGACCGCAGTGTTGATTTTTTCGGTACTGTCGAAGTCCGACGAGAGGGAGATGGGGAGGCCATACTGTGAGTCCATAGCTATGGCTAAGGACTTCTTGAAGCCCTTCGAGTGAAGGGGGTTGAAGGAGGTGGCTGATGACCAATAATGAGGGAAAAAAGAGAAGAGGTTATTTCGCAACCCGCGAATATTAAAGGAAACAAGCTATCAACCCTTTGGCTTAATACGACCGTGAGACTTTGGGAGAGCAGAGTGCCCTGACATTATTAAGTTAAGTTAGTTTAAATTAACTTAACTTACAACGAACTCAAAATGTTGTGATGCTCAGCAAGAGCAAGGAGGCGGTCTTGAGGGGACTGATCAGATGCGTGCTGATGAGTTTGCGTGCTAAGATGGCAATCTCCCCAATATCGAAGCTCCGAATAGCAGCATACACTGTATTCAGGTCATCAACCAATGAGGATTGTGCCTGTTGGGGAGTGGAGGATGTCCGCGGGGGGTCGGCCTTTTTGGGGCTCCAGGGGAAAACTGGAGGCTGTGAGGGCTGAGTGAAGCCCGGAGGGGGCTGAAGAGGATACTCAGGGGGCATAGGGGGACCCTGAGCGGGGCCCTGAAGGGGCTGGGAAAGGCCCTGACGGGGCATTTTAGCTGGGAGAGCCAGGAATGACTTGTCATTGACCGGTGGTGGAGCTAGTTTGGTGGGACGGGGGTGGGACGGGGGTGGGAAGCGCGAGGGCAGCCTCTGTAGTTAGCGGGGTGGCCAGACTGTTGACATAGAACGCACGCGGGTGGGGAGTCGGCGTTTTGTGGGGGAGGGGGGCAGAGCAGTTGGCCGCCGCATGCCCAGGTAGCAGCAGTGATACTGCGCCGAGTGACCGCGCCTATGTGGGGGCTCGACCTTAACTCTCGACTGGCCACACACGGTGATTACCGGCCGGAAGATGGCTTTGGCCTCCGGCACGTTTGTCAGGATGACAAGAGCAAGTGGAAACCTCTTGCCCTTGTTGCTGTGCATCTTTTGCACTGACTCTACGGGGAAGCCTTGGGATTTAAGGTCATCCAGGATGTCCTCGTTGGCGAATTTGAAGGGAACTTCGCGGATTACTGCCCTGAACTTACGCTCTTCCGGAAGACCGTACGTGTGGTAGGACACACGCTCGGCTGTGAAGAGCCTGGTGAGGCGACGAAAATCGTCGATGGGTTGGTGGATTATTTTGATGACTTCACCGAGGTTGGTGGCCTGATCATACTTGATACCTACGTTGTAGCAGGTTTTGAAGAGAAGGGTAAATTGCGCCTTGTCTCTGAGAAAGACAGGGGGTGGGTCCTGTATTTTGGCGATCGTGGGGGCACAGCAAGATGCTGGCTTGGAAGACGGGGGGATGTCTAACGACATTAGGGGGGCAAAGGTAGTGGCGGGGCCTGCGGGGTTGGAGACGGCAGCGGGAGCTACGGGGGTTGAGGCAGCGGCAGGGGATGCGACGGTTAAGACAGTGGCGGGGGCTGTAGGGGTTGAGGCAGCGGCGGGGGCTGCCTGGGTGCGATTTTTCGCAATGCGTTTCCGGCCACGCTTTGATTTTACTTTCTTGACGGGAGTCTCGTCCGTCATTGATCTGTCGGTGTCTGTCGACTCCATGGAACCGCTGCTGGACGTATTTTCGGTGGTGGTCGACCTCTTCCGGGAGGACGACTTCATGGACCTGGAGTCCGAGCACAAGCACTCCATGGCGTTGGTAGCAAGGGACGCGGATGAGTCGGTCTGCGGAGCAGCCGTAGGGACTGCCAAGCAGAACGGGACGGGGGCTAGGGGGGATATGCCTGAAGGGCGAGAGAGGAAAGCAAGTTGACGAAAACGGTTTCGTCGATTGCTAGCAGACCTAATGTCTCATTGTACGCTGTCAAGATGGACCTAAATTTGTCCAGTGTGGACATGTTGGGGGCGGGGGTGACGTTTTAAACTAAGGAAACTGGGGGATCCTTGTTCTGAAAAGAACAAGGGCTTGTCGTTCCAAGAAACAGTAACAATAAGAAAGTACAAACAAAACAACGAAAACAGATACAAATAACAGTAACAGCAAAAAAGCAAAAAGCCGTCAAACCATCCTGCCAGGAGGCAGGGCAGCAAGAACGGTAAGAAAAGGCAAGCAAACTCACTGACGGCGACAGCTCCGCACAGCGTGAGCAGGGAAGCGGAGGCGCAAGAGCGCGAGGTCACTCAAAATACTGGGAAGAGAGCGCGGTCAGCTTACAAAACCGCTCGAGAGCGGCGGCGCAAGCAGAATATTTCACAAGCATACCACTAACCCATTCTAATAAGCGAAACTTTAAATACAGAACTTGCGAGGTTTTGTAAACGTGTAGTGAGCCCACGCCTTTAAACTCCTTTTGAATCCCCGTTTTTGCGATAGTGTAAAGGCTTAGAATTTAATTTTAATTTGATTACTTTAATTAATTTTTTAACAATGATTCAAATCGATTTCAAAACTAAATTATTATTAACATAACTTCTAAACCAAGTTTAATACTCCCCTTTTTTTGATCTCATAACAATTTATGATGTTTATGAAAATAAAAATATCTTACACCTATAATAAGAACTTTGATTTTCATAATATAAAATTAATTAATGTTATTATACTCATCATTTTTAATATTTTTTTTTCATAAACCTTGACATTTCATTTTAATATCTTTTAAAAAGTTTACTAGTATTAAACGATTACTTAAAAAATGTAATTTTGCTATTTATTGCATAAACATAGTTTTATGTCTTTGCCTTTGTCTAACCAATTTTAAAGTACAGCAATAACTTTTTTATAGCACATTAAATTTCGACTCACACAAAAAATGGTTCAATAAGTCAGTAGTATACGGTTACCATAATATTACTTTTGAGAAATTTAACACAATAATCCCGTAAGTTAATAATACTAATTTTGCTAGAGCATTTTCAGTAATTTTTATTTTCCCATATTGTTAACATCAAGATCACATTCTATAAAAATTTACTTTCATTTGATATATTATATACTAGGTATATTAAATGTAAGTTCTTATTTAATATTACAACGCGTTCCTGAGTTATACCACAAAATCCTTTAATCATTTTTCATGTAAAATTTAAGTTTTACGATATCCGACTTATTTCTCGGGGGCGTCGATGTGATCTACGAGTATATTGAATAAAAAGTCATTGTCCATATCCGTACTCACTTTCTAGGTAAAATAAATCTTAAAAACAAAGGTAAAATAAAATAAAAGTTTATTCATATATTTTTATTAGTGATCGATGAACAAATATAACATTTTCAAGTTATCTTTTACGTACGTAGCTGACATCATAAAAGTGTATATTTAATTTATGGAAGTAATAACACCGGTGAGTTTTTATAAAAGCACAATGCTATTTCAAACAATGTATCTAAAGGATCTTTCTTTTTAATTTTATTACAAGTTTCTAAAACCTTCTGAACATCTTCTTTACGATCACTACTATCAAACAATTTTATGAAACCGTCGTTTAAGTGGTTATCTTCATCCAAGTAATTTGTTTTTAGGCAGAGACAATATCTAAATTTTTTGCTTATTTCATCTTCATCAAATTGCCACCCAAAGAAACGTTTTGCCACTTCTGGTTCAGCTTTTATCTCTTTTAAACAGTCTGCGGATACTTGCTTCACAAACTCGGAGACAGCCGGTGGTAAATGAACGACTGGTCTCTGAAAATTATTTATATTATCATTATAAATCGCTACTACGAATATTCTTTGCGTAAAAAAGGTTGCTTGTTTCTAAAATATTATAAATAGTATTGGAACTTGAGAAATATGAAATTTAATTATTACATTACATATAAAATGATTAGTATTTAGTAAAAAAATATTAGAACATAATTATTCAGTAATTAACATAAAGGTATAGAAACAGAAACAGAAACTTTTTTATTCAATATAGATTATAAATAATACTTATTAAAAGTCACTCCTTTCTTTAATTTACTACTGATTCAGAAAAAAACCTTTGTCCTGGAAAGAACAAGCAAGAAACCCAGCGGGACTTTAAAAAAATGTATATGTTACACAATTAACAACACAAAACAAATTAGAAATAGCTTGGTTGCAATCAACTAATTCCCAGGGGTTCTTATCATCCGTGAATTCTATAATAACCCTTTTTATACAAACTTAGTTTAATAGAGTTTTTGAACTTTGAGCAGGTCAAATCCGTATATTTTCTGGTATTTGTTATAAAGCGTATACATCGCTCTAAGAATGAATTACTGACCCGGTGGAGTCGAGTAATTGGTAATACTAGCTTGTGTCTGTTCCTAGTATTTACAGAATGATTATCACTTATTTTTGTAATACTACTTTTACTTTTGTGTACGTACATTAGATTTTCATAAATGTATTGAGAGAAAAAAGTTAACATATTAATTTCATTCAATTTTTGTCTAAGCGAATCTTTAGGTTTTAAAATCATAGATTGCTCTTATGGCCCTCTTCTGTAGAACAAATATAATTTCATTGTCAGTCGCGTGTCCCCATGCTAATATACCATACGACATTATGCTATGGAAATAGCTAAAGTAAACTAGTCGAGCTGTTTCGAAACTAATAAGATTTCTAATCTTTTTTACAGCATTACTACATTACAAGTTTATAGATATTATTTTGAAAAGCATTAGTTACATAACACCTTTATTATATATACATATACATATTATATATACATATACATAACATATACATAAGGCTACGTTGTAGATATTATTTATATTTAATATTTTTGTAGTGTTCATTGATTTTTAGGGTTTTATAGAATAAGAGTGACAAACAAGCAAACAGTTCACCCAACAAAATACAGCAGCCATAAACTGATATTCAAACTTATGCTAAATTAAGTAATTGCTGAATCAATTTTTTAAATGAATTACCTATTTCATATATTTAACAAACATAAAACAAGTACACTCACCGAGTCAATTTGTGCATACGCCGAGACAAAAACAGAGAATATTACTAAAATGTAAAACATCTTTACTCTTAAATTACTTAATACTTTTTTAAAGAATATACATGCTACTGCTACTATTTACTGCGACGGAATGCCTGCTGCATGTATTGGAATCATTTTTATACTACGGCAAATATGAACAATTAATAACGATTTACGTCACTTACCTATATCAATTATATACTCAGTACAATACAATGAAGATGCTATATTTTCATAATTATTAAATTATACAATTTCAGTTTTTATATTACACAATGGCCGCCACGCTGGCGCTTTGCAATTATATCATGAAAACTTTTCTCGCGGTATTTAATCAATATAAAAAGTAGTCAGTTTAGATTTATTTTAAACTGAGCCATAAAATACACTGTAAATATATAATAAAAATTTAAGCAGTCATAAATATATCTGTAGAGCCCGAATCATTAAAAAAAACTGTATATTTAAGTGCACAGCACCAATATGCACTATTATGCGTTTTCTAGATTCCCAATATAGTTTATTGGTGCCAATAAAAAACATTCTGTTATTATTCTAAGAGATATCCTCACGGTATTAAGTATTCTATCATAGTTCTCAGGAGTGACAACGAATCTTCATTTTCGTTCTTAATCGATGATTGATATTATGTCTATCATCGACTAAGAACAAAAATGCACACACATTTACTATCAAATAAGGTGTTTAAGGACTACAGTATCTAACTACCATCAGGTGTCTAAGAACCACAGTATTGGATAAAAAGTAGCTTTATTTCCATTAAATACACTGAAAGATACAAAATTAATAAAAAAAACTTTATTGTGACTAAAACATGTACCTAATTGAACATAAACTTATAGAAACAGAAACTTTTATATTCTATATAGATTATAAATAATACTTTTGGAAACTCACTCTGTTCTTTAATTTAGGCCTGGTTCGCAAATAACCTCTGTCCTGGGAAAAACCAACGAGAAACCTAGTGGAACTTTTTACAAAAACTAACAGCTTATAATCATATTATATTATGTTACACAGGTAACAACTCAAAACAAATTAGAAATACATAGCTTGGTTGCGATGACCTGATTCTCAGGGTTTCCATATCCATGAATTCCTTAATATTATACTAACCCTTTTTATACAAACTTAGTTTAATAAAGTTTTTGAACTTTGAGCAGGTCAAATTTTGTATATTTTATTTTATTTTGTTGCAAAAGTATATCAAGAATCGCCCCGAGAATGAATTACTGACTCGGTGTCGAGTAACTGGTACTACTAGCTAGCTCGCGTCTGTTCATTGTATTTACAGAATGAATATCACTTATTTTTGTAAAACTACATTTATATTTATGAACGGACATTAACTTTTCATAAATGTATTGAGAGACCAAAGTTAATATATAAATTTCCTTAAATTTTTGTCGGAGCAACTCTTTAGGTTTTAAATCATAGATTGCTCTTATGGCCCTCTTCTGTAAAACAAATATAATTTCAGTGTCAGTCGCGTGTCCCCATGCTAATATACCATACGACATTATGCTATGGAAATAGCTAAAGTAAACTAGTCGAGCTGTTTTGACACTAGTAAGATTTCTAATCTTTTTTACAGCGTATGCTACAAAACTAAGTCTGCTTGATAGTTTTTGTTTATAAGTTTATACATATTATTTTGAAAAGCAATAGTCACATGACGCCTTTATTAAACATAAGACTACGTTGTACATATTATTTATACTTTATATTTTTGTAGTATTCTCGTCTGATTGGTGTAAAATAAAAACATATTGATTATATTATACATACTATTGTGCGATGCTTATAACAATTTAGGAATATTTTATATGTTTTTGTTTTTAGGTTTTTTTTTAGAATAACGGTGACAAACAAGCAAAAAGACATTACATATATCCTTAATTGTGAAAATATAGGGTCTTCAGATTCTGAGAGGAATCTGCGGTTCTCTACACTCACCCAACGAAATACAGCAGCCATAAGCTGGTATTGAAACTTATGCTAAATCTGACATAATTTCAATTTAATGCTTACTGGATGATTTTTTTAAATGAATTTCCCATTTCATATATTTAACAAACTTTTTGTTTGTTAATTATATGAAATGTTAAATTCAGTGCAAGTACACTCACCGAGTCAATTTGTGCATACGCCGAGACAAAAACAGAGAATATTACTAAAATGTAAAACATATTTACTCTTAAATAACTTAATTTTTTTTATATAATATACGTGCTACTGCTACTATTTCCTGCGACGGAATGCCTGTTGCGTGTATTGGGATTATTTTTATACTCGTACTAAGGAAATTATGAACAACTAATAACAATTTATGTCACTTACCTACATCAATTATATATTCAGTAAAATACAATGAAGATACTGTATTTTTATAATTATTAAAGTATACAATTTCAGTTTTTATATTACAGTATGGTCACCACGCTGGCGTTTTGCAATTATATCATTAAAACTTTTCTCGCAGTATTTAATCAATACAAAAAGTTATCAGTTTAGATTTCTTTTACACTAAGCCATAAATTACACTGCAAATATACATAAAATACAAATTTCAGCAGTCGTAAATCTATCTGTAGAGTCCTGGTAACGCCAGTTAACAATCTATTTTATAAATCTAAGAGAATACTAATTGGTACATAACTTTAAAATTATGTACATTATGTTTGTTTTGCACAAATTTTTCGATGAAATGAAAACTTTTAAAACTAAAAGTCAGTGTTTTGGTTTAATGTTGTTTTGATACATAATAATATTAAAAATAAATAAAATATTATACATAAAAGTGGACGGTCCCAACGGATAGGTCTTCCCAACGGATAGGTCTTAAGATGAACATGGACAAAACAAAGATCATGTTTAATGTCCATGTCACACCTATGCCGGTAGTTGTTGGGAACACTAAGCTCGAAGTTGTTGACGAGTATGTTTACCTGGGACAAATAGTCCGACTAGGTAAGTCCAACTTCGACCGAGAGGTCAATCGACGGATTCAACTCGGCTGGGCAGCGTTCGGGAAGCTAAGACACATCTTCTCGTCAGACATACCTCAAAACCTTAAAACGAAATTGTACAACCAGTGCGTGTTGCCAGTGATGACTTACGGAACTCAGACGTGGTCCTTCACTGCTGGCCGTATGAGAAAGCTCAAGGTCGCTCAGCGAGCTATGGAGAGGGCTATGCTCGGAGTTTCTCTGCGTGATAAACTTACAAATGAGGATATCCGCAGTAGAACCAGAGTAACCGACATAGCCCAACGGATTAGTAAGCTGAAGTGGCAGTGGGCCGGCCATATAGCTCGAAGAACCGACAACCGATGGGGAAGAAAGGTTCTCGAGTGGCGGCCTCGTACCGGTAGGCGAAGTGTAGGGCGTCCCCCCACGAGATGGAGTGACGACCTGGTAAGACATGCAGGAAGTCGATGGATGCGGGTGGCTCAGGACCGTGCTTTGTGGCATTCTTTGGGGGAGGCCTATGTTCAGCAGTGGACTTGTGAAGGGCTGTAATGATGATGATGATGATGATGACATAAAAGTGGTATTTACTAATCGGTCCCGTTTTTAGAATGTATATCATTATAGATTTTAACCTGTAACCTGAAGTACCTAGATAGATTTTTTTACCAGACTACTTAATACTCAAAAGGAGAGTATTGTGTTTAGTTATGATTTTCAACATTTTTGTACCGGTTTTTCGTTTAAATTTAATAATAAAAGTGTAAAGGCTTAGTCAGTGATAATTTATGATATTCTTCAGAATGAACAATTGAGCGCAAAGAATTCTAAATATGTTGGAGCTTGGGAGTCCCGTCAAACACCTAACAAAAAGTAAATACATAATATTGTATTTCATAAATTTTTTATTAGGTTCATCTTTAAGTGATTACGAGTATTAACATGTCTTTACTTAATTTTTATATATTTTTTTAATTTTCTTCTACTGCAGGTAGTCCTTGCTGCTGTTGATGTGACATAATCATCACCAGTGAAATCAATTGTTGGGGAGGGTTGCAATGCTTTAGAAGATTCACATTCTATGAGCTCATTGAACAGACTTTGAGTTTGGGACGCTTTCATGTTGTCTATGTAATGTTTTAATTGCACAATCTGCTCATTAGCCTCACTTAACTGTAACTGCAATACAGCAATTAATCTGAGGGATTCCTCATATTCCTTGCTGCACTGGTCAAACTCATCGACTGTTCTCTGAAGTTGATCCCTTTCCTTTGAAACAAATGTATATTCTGTAGGTATGCAACTTAACCATGTCACTTTTTAGCTCAGTATTTTTAGCTATTATATTTATTATTTCCTTTTCACATTCATCCCTTTCTTTACATAACAGCTCACGCTGCTCCTTTGACGCCTTGAGTTCTTGGACAAATAGTCCGACTAGATAAGTCCAACTTCAACCGAGAGGACAATTAACGAATTCAACTCGGCTGCGCAGCGTTCGGGAAATTACGACACATCTTCTCGTCTGGTATAACTCAAAACTTGAAAACGAGACTGTACAATCTGTGCATGTTGACAGTGATGACTTATGGAACTGAGACGTGGTCCTTCACTGCTGGCCGTATGTGGAAGCTCAAGGTCGCTCATCGACCTATGGAGAAGGCTATGCTCGGTTTTACTCTGCGTGTTAAACTTAGAAATGAGGATATCCGCAGTAGAACCAGAGTGACCTACATAGCCCAACGGATTAGTAAGCTGAAGTGGCAAGGGGCCGGCCATATAGCTCGAAGAACCGACAACCGATGGGAAAGAAAGATTCTCGAATGACAGCCTCGTACCGGTAGGCGAAGTTTATGGCGACCCCCCACTAGATGGAGTGACGACCTGGTAAAACATGGAGGAAGTCGATGGATGCAGGTGGCTCAGGACCGTGCTTTGTGGCATTCCTTGGAGGAGGCCTATGTTCAGCAGTGAACTAGTGAAGGGCCGATATGATGATGATGATGATGATGACCTGCTCAGGACATATATCTGTGATTTCGTGTACCC